ATTAGTTGCAAATAGACTGTGACCAGAATGTTGCCTAAAATTTTTCTTGCACCTAAAGAGAGGAAGTCCTTTACATGAAGATACTTTTTGACAATTATAAAGCATACTATGACTAAGCTGGACTCCTGAATCAGCCCTCCTTCCTCCCAAGAGCTAATCACACACAGAATCTTTACAAGCTGCAAGAGGCTTCTTCAGGGTCTCCATCTAGATTAACCCATGACTGAACAAGAATGCTCTCTGATAACATCCCCAGCAAGTGGTCATCCAGACTCAGCTTTCAAGCCTCCAACGAAATGGAGAAATGGAACCCACCCCCTCCCAAGGCATCCTATTTTATTTTTGGAAGGTGTTATTAGGAGGTTTTTCTTTAAATCAAGCTTAAATCTATTTCTCTGAAACTTTCTAGTTCTGCTTTCTGAAACCAAACAGAACATTTTTAACTTTTTCTTCTACAGGATAGGCCTTTGAATACTGAAGATAACTGTCACATCCATGCTAAGTGTCTCCATGCCAAATAGCCTCCGTTCCTTCAACTGACCCTGCTATGACAAGTTTTCCAGTCCTCCCATCATCGTGGAAACTCTGTTCTGGATAAGCTCCTGCTGGCCTATATATTTCCCCAAATGTGATGCCTGTAAACTGCACACTGTATTCCAGGATGACTTGATCTGAACATAAAGAGGAATTCTTATTTCCCTCATACTGGAAACTATGCTTCTCTCTCTCTCTCTCTCTCTCTCTCTCTCTGGCTAGGCAATGAGGTTGACTGACATACCCAGGGTCACACAGCTAGTAAGTGTCAAGTGTCTGTGGCCAGATTCCTCCTGACTCCAAGGCCGGTGCTCTATTCACTGCGCCACGTAGCTGCCCTAAAACTATGCTTCTCTTAATATAGCCTAGGACAGCATCATCTCAGCATCATTGTAATGAGTTCGTTAAAGTACAGTAAAAATCAATCAGAAGGTCAGATGTCACAACGAAAAATCTGACGTGTTGTATCTAATGGCCTGACCAAATTTTGGTGTCAGGGATAATTTAATACCATTCCTCAATTTGTGATGATGCCAGTCACCTAATCATTAGAGGAGATAAATAGAACTCAGGAATTCTGACTTCCATATCTGGCTTTGTTATGTGCTTATGTGATCATGTTATTAGAAATCTTTGGATAATATGATTATCTTACTCATGTACTTTTTTTCTACTAGAGATTTGGAGAATGGAATGTTAACGATCATCTTTTCTATTTTCATTTAACTGGGTGTATTTTTAGAGGGAGAGAAAAGGGATCCTGGTGCTGCAAAGTACAAGATAGGATACCTCTTTTCCAGCTCCAAATTACACAGCAAGCTGCACCAATGATCTACAATCAGAGGCGAGAGGAAGGGCTGTCAAAGAAACAGAGACATACGTGGGGTGTGGGAGAAAAAGACGCAGGCAGGCAGACAGACAGACAGACAGACGCAGCACACTTTCCTGAATTAGCTACCAAGGGTAATGTGTTTTCTTTCTTAACATAAGAACTTGATTAGAGCAGTTCTTAACTCTTCTACAGTTTGTTTACTGGTCAACTGGCTTCTTATTTTTTACCAACATCATCTCAGCTCTTTTGCACATAGGTACAAAAATACAAGATCAGTAACCCACAACTGGACAAATGTAAGCTGGCAAGCACATAAACTACTCAAAGTGAGTATGTGTCTGCTGAGGCAGAAGCAAGGCCACCTTGTCAACTGTGCCACATTTTCTGACTCACAGGGAGTTTTCCTTAAAAGCAGCGGCACTGAAAGAGATCTTAATTCTAAGAATATATTCACTTTTATTCTTCGATGAGTCAAAGATTTAAGGCTGAAGGGCCATTCATGATGACCTAGTGCAATGGCTTCATTTTACAGATGAAGAAACTGAGGTCCAGTGCACAGTAGGTAGGACAGGGATTTAAATTCAGGTCCCTGACTCTAAAACAAACCAACACTCTTTCCATTTTGCTGTGCAAGCATGTTTTCCCAAAGTGCAGATCGCTCCCTGCCCACGTCTCCTCATCTTGTAGAACTTCTCTCCATGTCTTCCTACAGAGCACAAAGGACTGTTCCTTGGTTATCATTTGCTCTCAGAACATAGTCATCACAACCACCGAGAATTCAGGGTCACCTCTGTGGCCCTTATGAGGAGTTATGCTGAGGATAGGAAAGAAATTACACAAAGAGTCTAACCAACTCATTTTCCCAACCTGAGAAAAAATTACTCCTTGTCTCTGTTTTGGGATACCATGCTGGGATAAACTGGCATGGATGTGCCAACTTGCTGGGAAGTCCTGGATATTCCTCAGAGCAAAGTATATCCCCCAAGATATCTGATGCTGGATCCACAGAGAAGCTGTCTCTCAGCTTTGAGTGTATCTACTTTCTAATCTTAAATAATACAACTTCTTTAAAAACCAACACTGTGACTATCTTGCATAATTTAATAAGCATCCAGTAACATATGAAGAGAATCTTCTCTGGTAAGGTCTCAGTTGTTAGGTTGTCTGTTTTCTCTTAAAGTACTTGCACAGTAATTAGATAAATCACTTGCACAGTAATTACAAGTTACATGAAATTGGTGGCTTTGCATATAAATGAAAAAGAACCTGGAGAAAGAATCTAAAAAATACTTGTAGAATTTTTATCCATGGGATTTTATCCCATAAAGAGCTCATTCATTTTGAGTACACTCTCATGTGTGTTCAAGACAAGAAAGGTGAAATCAAAACACTGGATTGGACAATAATATGGGTATTGGGATTTTATTTTTTTTGGACAATTTTTATAAGCCAGACAGATCATTTACAGAGCAAAAATACATAAAGCCAGTCGGAAATGATCAGTTTAGCAGCAGGACAGTCATAGTCTTGATAAGGAAGTATAATACAGTGGGAAGAGCTCCGGATTATGATTCAAAAGTCCTGGCTCAAACACTTACTGGTTTTTGATTCTGGACAAGTGACTTCACAGCTCTGACCATCAGTATTCTTGTTTATTTAAAAAAAATTATTAGACTATATAAATCTCTATGGTCCTTTCTTTCTAGCTCTCATATTCTGTAAAATGGGGATAATAATAACACCTCATAGGGTTGCTGTGAAGATCAAATGAGACAATACATTTAAAGTATGTTGCCAAACTAAAAAGCGTTCTATAAATATTAGCTAATATTAGTTTGTGATTACGCTACCCACCACCACTGCTATAACCTCAGGTCAAACTTAAGAGAAAGTTCAAGAGCTTATACTCAAGGCTTCAAACTCCAAGTTTTAATATTTTAATGAAATTTTTAGCTTTTTCATCAATAGGAAGTATTTTCAATAGCCTTGGATTTTTTTTTCACTATTTTTATAATGAAGTTAAACTAATTTCTTGCTATGTTATACTTTTCACCTCATTGGTGACTTACAGTATAGCTGAACAGAAAATACATAACTTGTCAGAAAACATGATAATTCTTAATTTCAGACAACAGAAAAATAAGTGGCTGGTTAGAGAGTTTCAATGAGAGCAGGGATTACTATGGCAGACTACACACACTAATCATCTATTACTCATTTCTGTTACTGTTACGAGATGAATGAAACAAAATACTGATGAAAGCTGTAACAAAATCATTATACACCCCACCCAATGATATATAAAGTCTGCATCTGGAATGCCAGTTTTCTAGCAGTTTCAAGATAGCTATCACTAACTATAGAAGGAAGTCTGAAGGTTAATTATTCCATATAATATCATACAAAGAGTGGGTATTCCAATCCTAAAGCAAGAAACCAACCATTTTATCTTTTAAATAAACAACAAAAGGTATGTATGATTTCAAATTCAAAGAGGTACGGTCAATACTTATTCTACTGAGGAAACACATTCAAAGATGGCAGGTCACACACTTCTCATTTTTAGGAAATCAGGCTATAATAAATGTGCTTAG